TATATTAATATAATTGTAAGGGAAAGTAAAACTACATCAGGGAAAGAGAAAGAAGAAAATTATCCCGATTAAGATAACTGACGTATCATTGGATCTTGAAGCATGAAGTTTGTATGGAGACACATACGGAGAGTACTTTCGTCAACTGACGCAATGCCAACGTGGAGTGCTGCTACTGTTACTTTGATGTGATCCTCTTTTGTCAGTCCATCATTCGCTTCGTTTCATATGCCACTGTTAACGCGATGCACGTGTGTCAACATTTCTGCGTGGCGGTACATCTGTGCATGTCTATTTGTGCGTAAGCGACATTGAACTCCAGTAAGGGTGTCAGTCAGCCGGAACCAAAATTTTGTGCTTTATCTTCTAATTTAGTATGGTTCAAGTCTTATCTAGAGAGTGGTCGTTTATTTATTTATTTATTTATTCATTCATTAATTGTTCTACAACCCTTTCTTGGATCCTGGCCACTTTTTTCATTTTGGCAATTCTATTCACAGTCGATAGAATACTTGGATGGGGGATCAGACCGTCGCAAGGCCGCTAGCTACACACAGAACAGCACAAAGAGGAAATAAACGCTCACAGACCTCCATGCCTCGGGTGAAGTTCGAACCCGCGACCTCAGTGTTCGAGCGGGCGAAGACAGTTAATGCCTTAGACCGCTCGACCACTCTGATCAGCAGTTAATTCATTAGTTAAACTATTGAAAAGCAGCGAAAGCGCCAGTTCGTTGCCCGGGGTTTCCTTAAAGCAAATTGTAGTAATTAAATTGCTTATTTATTAAATCACTTTTATGAATATGTGTTCCTGTTCACCATTATATTACTTACAACTGGGGGGGGAGGCAACATACTGACCGCTTTTGCGTCACACAACCCCGTAACAATCGCACTGTAAGAAAGGATTTCATTATCCGTTGTTACGGCTATTCGATTCCCGATAGAGGCAAAGATTTTTCTTTAGATAGGCCCGAACAAATTTAGTGTTTTCTCTCCGAAGGAGCAGCGACGGGAGCGTTAAGGTGGTCATTTATTTCTACCTGTTTCCGAGGTCCAGAATGCATGGAGATTTACCTCCATACTCCTTATACAGGTTACGTTCATGGCATGTTGCTTAGGGCATGGCGTTACCTTCTGTGTGATCTACTTTCGTCTAATGTTGGCAGGATGATTGCTCTGAGAAAGCTGAGAAGGGACTTGTGGATAACACGGTAAACGATATATACGAACATCTTTGTCGAGAATAGTGAAGGGAACCGACAGATTGGAAGAACTTCAGATGGTAGGTTTTTTTTTTTATTATTGCTAGTGGGGTGGGACTAAGTTCCTTGTACTGCGGCCACTTCTGGCCTATTGTACCAGCTCCAGATGATAGGTGAGAGTGATTGTGGAGCAATTGGTGGAATGAAGATTGGCAGAGGAAACCGAAGTACTCGGAGAAAACCTGCCCCAGCGCCACTTTGTCCACCAAAAATCCAACTTGACCAGACCCGGGATCGAACTCGGGCCGCCGCGGTGGGAAGCCAGCGACTAACCGTTTGAGCTATGGCGCGGCGTTAGATGGTAGGTTAATATAGAAATAGATCACAGGGAACTAAGGAGTGTTCGGAATTCAACAGCCTAAGGATAGGATCCTATGTCAGGATTTTTATCAACATAGTAATGAACATCGTCGTTAAATAGAAAGTTCTCAAGAACAGCCTTTACGTTAGTTACTTAGAGTTCAATAAAACGACTGACTACAGACTGTATGACAGGGACTGTGGCCGCGCCATGCTCAAGCGGTTAGTCGCTGGCTTCCCCGCGTGGCGGCCCAGGTTCGAGCCTGGGTCTGGTCAAGTGGGATTTATGGTGGACAGAGTGGGGCTGAGACAGGTTTTCTCCGAGTACTTCGGTTACCTCTGCCAAGCTTCATTCCACCAAATTCTCCATCATCATAATCACCCAGGGCAGATACAATAGGCCATTCAGTGGCTGAATTGCCAAGTGGACCCAGCTGGACTTTACCCATCACTATAAACTCCGTGGTTTTAGTCCGCAAGCGAACTATACCGACCACTATGCGAATTAAAAAGTAACAGGGGCTGAATCGTCGGCAATGGCAGTGGGCTTTTTCCCTTCGATAACAAATGCTACATGTTTCCGCTGGGACATCCAGCCTCCTATCCAACACGTATTATGAATCCTTTCCATGGGTACTGTTTTCGGCCTAGCTATATCTGCTAATGATACCTGGAATATATCTTTAAGATTTTACGCATTTTATTTATTTATTTTGCATCGTTTCTTCCCCTAATATCGTCTACTGTACTTTGTTTTCGTTTACAAGTTTCTTATTCATAGCTTTGCTATGGCACATACAAGAATATCATTAATTCTTCTGATTATTGTCATGATCCTATAATCCTCCCGTCATCATCATTATCTTTACGTTTTCTTAAGCTTTCACACAATAGATCTATGACCTATTACGATTACGAATAAAAAATCCATCAGATATTTGAAGGTCCAGATCGAGTGTCCAGATTTTCCAACCCAAAAGATCTCAAACCTTTTGACATTTCTTGTAACCGCTCACTTCCTTTGTGCCCTTTTTGTTGTGTGCCACTCCACCACCGCTCACTTCTTTGGGTTCTTTACTTTAATCAGTAGAGCTGGGTTCCTATCCCAGGGTCTTATAAGGGTCTGGCTCGGACAGGGCAGGAAGAACACTTCACTACAATCACCCACCTTTCGACGGTTGCACTTGGTAGTCCTTTAATACCTTCCGGCTTTCTGAATACAACTGAATTTCTTACTACTGTTGCTTTGTACTGTACTTATACTATTCTACGGAAGGGCCGTAGTGGTAAATTTAGTGTCCGACTTTGCCGAAAGTAGTGTCAAGACTCTCCGAGGTGGAATGCCCTCTCTCTGAATTCTGAGGTCCACGAACCCCAGACTCCAAGAGAAATCCACTCCTCCACTTCTGCCATTGGTTAATTTTTCAAACTAGGAGGTTCCCTAAATTTTGAATTCCCAATCATGTTGCTCTGCTATGTGATTCTGGCAGATGCTGACCTGACGCTAAGGATGACAGCCCCTTGATGCATTACAGTCAGGGTGTGAGGCTCCGGCCGTCCCACTTCTAAGTTATCGCTGTCCCAAGCTGTCAGCTCTCATTTTCTCAAAGCCTTTCCGACGTTGCTGAAACTGCCAGAATTCTAGGAAAGTACCAGATGTTACTTCCTGTCCACATAGCAAAACTTGAACTATGTCCCTTCCGCGTGTAAGAGCTGGCTATCCGCCGGATCCCTTTGTTTGTAATATAGTTAATCTTAACTTAATACAAATTTAATTTTCACACAACACTCCTCCAGTCAGAATGGACGGTTACACTCTGTCCCCTAAAGAAATACACAAATTCTTCTCCACCGGTCAGAGAAAAGAGCGGTTCTGCACATTGTTGCAGATCCATGTCAGGCTATGCTGTAACATCAGGAACCTACATAACTTTACACTCTCTCTGCATTCGCAGGGAGATGTAGAACTTTCCCTTACAGTAACGAAAGGATTCGCGAAGTGTTTCGTTCGCTTACATTTCTCTAAGGCCTCTCTATTTATTGTAAGGTACCGACGTCTGACGTGCTGAAATTGTGCTTGGATATACCTTTACAACCAGGAATACATAATATGCCATATACCAACTTCTTACATGAGCCGGGATAGCGCATTCTGTATAGGGAGCCGGGATAGCGCATTCTGTATAGTGAATGGATACGAGCTGACGACCAAGAGGTCCGAATTCGAGTCCCGGTAGGGTCAAGAATTTTCACTTCTCTATATCTTCCAGACCGGCTCTGGAGTCCACCCAACCTCCTATACAATTGGTACTGGGGGGCTCTTTCCCGACGGTAAAGCAGTCGGGTCGTGAAACTGACCACTCAAGTCCAACTAGTGCCGAAATTAAGAAAATGTGGATCTATGCATCCACTTCCCCATACGTCTACTTTATCTCTACCTTTCAACAACTTCTTACACGATTAGCTATTTTTGCGGGAAATTAGAAAATTCGATTTGAAATGCATGCTATATTAGCTTCCTGGACAATTTATGAGCAAAACTGAATTTTTCAGGCAGTTCTTGCAGGCCTACAAAGTTAAATCATAATCCATTAAGTATTTTTGGAGAATAATCATTCAAACAGACACAAATACATCTCTCGTGTTAGGCTTTGGTGTTGGCGAGAATGCAAGGTAATTCGTAATAATGTCTGCTGAGTATCGAGGGCATGTAGTCTGACAAAAATGGTTATCTATCTATCTATCTATCTATCTATCTATCTATCTATCTATCTATCTATCTATCTATCTATCTATCTATCTATCTATCTATCTATCTATCTATCTATCTATCTATCTATCTATCTATCTATCTATCTATCTATCTATCTATCTATCTATCTATCTATCTATCTATCTATCTATCTATCTATCTATCTATCTATCTATCTATCTATCTATCTATCTATCTATCTATCTATCTCCCTTTATTGGACCTTGCCCGCTCTTTTAGTTTCTTAATCCTGTACACAGTTGGTAGGATTCCTTGAAAGGAGGGTCAGTCCGTCGCAAGGCCGCTGCCTACACATAGAACACAAACACAGAATAAACGCACACACAGACATGGATGCCTTCAGTAGGATTCCGACCCACGATCACAGAGTTCGAGCGTGCGAAGACAGTTCATCCCTTAGACCGCATGGCCACTGTGATCGGCAACTTTGCCTCCGTAAAATGCAAGAATCCCTCGTGGCTTATAATTATAAGCCACGAGGGATTCTTGCATTTTACGGATTATTATTAACCAATTATAATTGGTTACCACAAACCGAGAGAGAAATGTGAGATGGCAGATGTGCCGTCCCCTATGCTGCGTTTGTAATATTCAAGGTATATAAAGAACACTTTTGTTTGGTTCTGATATCAGTTCTGATTAGCCGCGTTACGTGCTCTGCAGGAGGAAGCAGGATGAAGTCCAGGTACTGGAGGACACGATACGGCAGAGAAGTGAACAGCAGAAGAAAGCGGGCGTGGAGCTGGACGCCACATGTCACATCTGCCTCAAGACAAAGTTCGCGGATGGAGTTGGGCACATTTGCAACTACTGCAACATCCGCTGCTGCGCTCGATGCGGCGGGAAGGTCACCCTTCGCTCAAACAAGGTAAGACAAACGTAAACCTATCTAGAATAGAACGTGGGACAACGGACTCTCGTCTTTGTCGGAAAGTGTCTCTGGTACCGTGGGTACAATAAAATATGACTTAAAATTGTTTCATGTGAACGGAACTCGTGTAATACGAAAATTATATTATAAATCATAGTTTGCATGAATACTGCATGTAGAACCTACTGTTTTCTATCCTTCCCATTTAATGCCGTTCTTTGTTTCCTGGAACTGTGCTGAGAAAAGAATTCTTGTCACAGATGGGAAGAATTTGAATCCGTACATTTTATTTTATTGCTAGTGAGGTGGGACTAAGTCCCCTGTACTGCGGCCATTTCTGGCCTATTGTACCAGCCCCAGATGATAGGTGAGGGTGATTGTGGAGCAATTGGTGGAATGAAGATTGGCGGGGGAAACCGAAGTACTCGGAGAAAACCTGCCCCAGCGCCACTTTATCCACCACAAATCCCACTTGACCAGACCAGGGATCAAACCTGGGCCGCTGCGATGGGAAGCCAGCGACTAACCGCTTGAGCTATGGCGCGGTCAATCTGTAAATTTATGTATAGGCTAATTTAATTGACTACGATAAACATGAAAACAAATGAAAGAAAAGGAAATAAGAAATGAAGTTAAAATTTGTATTCCTCGGTAAGTGTAATGCAGGCATACATATTTGATATTAATTTCTGACTCCTGATTTATATCATAAATACTTGGGGTCTGGATGTGCAGGCTTTCATTTTGCGGAAGTTAAGCACTGCAGAAACCTATCTGCAACCGAAACATTTTCAGATGCCACTAGATTCCATTATGGGCGGCTTGTATTTCAGTGTCTTGTTTTACTAATGTCAGTTTGTCACTTGTCTAGATGTAATGGCAATTAATAAGATGGAGGTTACGAATGATGAATTAGTAAATATGTGAAAGGAAGTGTTACGTTAAGTGGCAGCTAGTCACAACGGCGTGGCGCGTCCTTAGGATGCCGAATGATAAGATGACCTCCAGATGTGGAGGGTAGCTGCGAACTTATGAATAAGAGCGGAGAACCGACATGGGGTGACTTTCCAGCTTGGGACGAACAACTCGTGCTAAAAATAATTTATTTCAACATGTTACATAGGGCTGTCGGACTTAGAAGATTTTTTTTGGAACGGCCTGAGCAAAGGAAAATGGATATGAAGTTTGGCACATGGAATACAAGGAGTCTCTGTAAAGCAGGTTCGGTGACAACATTGAAAGAGAAATGGAAAAGTGTAAGTTAGATTTAGTGACAGTAAAGAATTTCAGATGGGACGGGGGTGGCAGTGAAAAAGCGAGCGATTCTACATTTTTATATGGAAATTGTGATGAGAACCATGAATTAGAGCAGGGTTCTTTGTACATAGGAGAATCATATCAGCAGTTAAAAGGGTGAAGTTTTTTAGTTATAGGATAGCGTACCCAATACTAAGAGGCGGCTGGTGTAATGCCATTATTCTCATGTTCATGTCCTAACAGAGGATAAAACTGATGACACGAAGGGCAGCTTCCATGAGGAACTAGAACGTATATTCGATAAATTTGCTAAGTACCACATGAAAATGTTGTTAGGAGATTTCAGTGCTAAAGTAGGCAGAGAAGATATTTTAAAACCAAAAATTTGGGATTCGAATTTACACGAAATTAAGTAAACTTTGCCATATTCAAAAAGTGTGAATTTTAAGAGTACAACGTCCCCACATCATAATATTCATAAATTTACTTGGGCATCTCCTGATGTAAAGACACAATCAGATCGATCATGTTTAGACAAATAGCAGACAACATTCTAGTGTACTTGATGTCCAATCTTTTAAGGGATGGGATTGTGATACTGATAGTGTCTGGCGGTTGCGAGAGCTGGCGAGAGATTGGCAGTTAGTAAAGGAGCAACATATGAATATGATCTGCACAGATCCATACTGAATGATGCAGAAGGTAGAGAACAATATCATCTTAAAATCTCAGATAGGTTCGTAGTTTTCAAAACTTAGATGATATCAATAGAGCTTGAGAAATCGTTAGAGAGAATATTAAAATTTCAGCCAAAGAGAGTCTAGGCTATTGTGAATCGAAGCATCATAAGCCATGGTTCAATGCAGGACATTCAGACCTATTAATTCAGAGGAAGCAAGCCCGATTGCAATGGTTACATGGTCCGAGTGGCGTTAACCTGAACAAGGTGAGACGTGTAGCTAGCAGACCTATCAGAAGCAAGACGACGGAATGTATGGAGACAGAATTAGAGAGCTTCCAACACACAAGTAAGAACAAGTACCCTGGAGACTTACTTAAAGAAATAAATTAATTTAATTAAGGTAAACCATCTACCAGCCTGGTAAAGGAGAACGGTGACCTGCTTGCAGATTCCGACATTTTGAATAGGTGGAAGAATTATTTCTCTCGTCTATTGAATGTATAGAGGGCCAGTGGCATTATGCGGATAGAAGCACGTACAGCTGAGCTATTAGTATTTGAGCCTAATCTTTTGGGGATATAAATTGCTGTTTAAAAAATGTAAAGCTATAAATCCCCATCTATTGATCAAATTCCGGCAAAATCCATTCAAGCGGAAGGGGAAACATTACGTTCTGAGATTTATAGAAAATTACTTATTCTGCTTGGACTTGCGAGAGGCAACATGCGGTGGCGTAGTTGGTTGAGGCACTATATTACAAGCCGGAAGGTTGCGGATTTGATTCCCGACGAGTTAGTTGGAATTTTCATCTGGCCTAATCCTTTCAGCTGCACAATGGCCCTGTGGTCGACTCAGTCTTTAACAGAAATGAGTACCAGGAATCTTCCTGGGGCTAAAGGGCGGCCGGCGCGTAAGTCTGACCTCACCGCCATCTGTGAACCGATTGTATAGAAAATTTGGGAGCCTCGAGCCTCACAACCGTATGGGCCTCCACGGCCTGTTACAGCGATACATTTACTCTTACTAACTTTACAAATAATTGCCTGTGTAGTGGAAGGAGTCTATTATTCTATCAGTTTACAAGAAGGACAATAAAACTGACAGTAGTAATTGTCGAGACATGTAATACTTATCGATTTCATACAGAAATTTATGCAACACCCTTCTCTCAAGTTTAAGGCAATATGTACAGTGGGTAGCTAGGATTTTGTCAGCAAGGGAGGGTGATGACAGTAACCGTCCCTAACGGAAATTATGTATTAAAAAGAATGGCTATCATTCCTAGAAATTTCTTTCTTTCGGTGAAAACCCACTTCTGGGATATGGCACTGTTCAAAAATTTAAAAATCTTCGGTAAGATTGCTGAAGGTAATTCACTATCAGTTGAGAGAATACAAGGTTTGTGATTCTGTCTTGTGACACTGTAGACCGCAGATAGCATTTGATCAGTTTCATTTTTCTGAAAGAACGCTGAGATGATGATACCGAAACTGACGATGTTAACAGAATCTGAAGTGGTGCTGCAAGATCTTATATGCCTCCAGTCCCGTTGATGAAATGCATTTCAGCATTTCTTTTAAAGAAGATATATTTGTTCCCCATTCTTCTTTGCTCCCTTGTAGCATGATTATTTTCCAATCCATTCAGATCTTTTGAATACTGCGGGGCATATGAATACACTTATTCGTAGATCAGCAAAATTTTCATAGTTTTAAAGGTCCAACTGATTTACTAGAAATTCAGTGTTCCACAGAAAACTAAATCGACTCTCTAATTCTTGCAACTGTGGAAAGCGATCGTAAATTTCAGCTTCAGTTTCACCCATAATTTATCTTAGAAAAACGGTGCATTTATTGCTGACTACTCGATTCAGCATCAAACTCTTTGTCACCAGGCAATGTGAAGATGATTTCTTAATTCGGCTACTCACTGCCACACCCGATCATGACACAAGTCTTCTGCATCGAAAATGACTCTGATATAGCGCGTTTTTTCAATTATCAATTAGGTCTAAGTTCCCATTTGATTCAATACTTTGTGAAAAGATTCTTCTTTAGTCTGAAGACATTTCTGAACTATGTCTATAGAAGAGAACTTCCGGATAGAAGAAGAGTAGGGCTACAAATTCTAAATTTTCACCACCGTTGAGAAGTGGAGCTGCAGCATCACGTGTATCAGAAGTTCCGGTCGGAGTATCACACGGCTGTTGAAGTGCAATATTCCTTTTTTACATTTTGACTTGAAATGGTGTTCGCTGCAGTAGCTTCTAGTATCTACTTTTGGAATGGCGCTTCGCTGTAATAATGACAAAGCCATTATAAAAAATAGCCAAACAGGAGTTCAACAGTACCAACAAGAGTCGGTGCCTCTACGCTCACATGAGCGGTATGAGCACCAAGTATAGGGACAGAGTTAGTTGAAGGGTAATAGAACTGCCGGTGGATTCAGATCTATAATTTTATTTCTGAATACCAGCCTTTGTTACTTGATTGTCATGAGACTGGCTCCCTGAAGTCTTTAAGATTTGGTCCATCCGTTTCCGGTTTCTTTGTAATTTTCGCAGTGATTGCCTATGCAGTTTTCACGTCAAGTTAAATGAAGACAATAAAAGTTTCCTTGATTTCCACAGAGTCACACTGAATCTCAACAAATCTAGCAATTTATGAGTTATGTTCTATAAGCGCATTGTCTTGAGTCGTGTCAAATATGAAACTATACTAAGGGAGACCGGGTCTAGTTTTACAAAAAAACTTTGTGAAGCTACTTCTTGGCTACGCGAATATATTATGCATGAAAATATTACCGATGCACAGTGTTAGTGCCTATTAATTTGGGGGGGGGGAAGTCAGTGAAGGAGATTTGATAACGCGACTTCCCTGTGGGTTAGACGTATTTATGGTCATGAAATAGAAAACTGAATATTATCTCCATCATCACTATAGTTCATGCAGCCTTTCATTATTGAAGGGGAAACCGTTTTAATGAAAATCCATCTTATAATTCTGAACATGAGCTCCTGCCGCGATGATGTAAATATGGTAAGGTTAATTCTCTTTTC